ATGCAGATGCGATTGATGACGTTGACCCTATGAAGGAACTTCGAACAGCATTATCGGTAATAAAAAAACGATACTTTCACAAAATGTGTATTCAGAAAGCAGCCGCAAAAAGTAACAACAACAACAACAACAGCAATCCACCACAATAGTATTATCGTTTCCTTTTTTATTAAGTTTTGGTTCATCTTAGTCTTTTTTTTAATTCACTGTATTTCCATGAATAACTTCTAAAATGCATTCTTTGTTCGCCACTTGTTAACAGGGCTGAGATTCTACCTAAACTTATATAGAACCAAAACATAAACTTACATAACTACAACCAATACCTTAATGGTATGCCAATATAGTATGACATACTTAAAAGTATTTACTTAATTCGATTATAATAAGAGCATCACAAATATTTCTAATTCGTCAATATTTCATACGTAAAGTGTAATCTAAATATTTTTTTATTGAACTAATATTAAATTTAAAAAAAAAAAACCTTTCGTTACGCTATTTATAAGATGTAACTTATGAAGAAAATGTTGGTGCCTTATTTATCAAACATTAAATGAATTTATAGCATACTTTTTTTTACTTAAATATAAGAATATAAACATGTGATACTGTAGGTAGTTAACCGATTACCACCGAAGGCAAAATATGTATGTAACGGGTGATTTTTTAAGAGCTTGATAACTTTTTTTTAAAAAAAAACGCATAAAATTTGCAAAATCTCATCGGTTCTTTATTTGAGACGTTAGATTGGTCCATGACATTTACTTTTTGAAGATAATTTCATTTAAATGTTGACCGCGGCTGCGTCTTAGGTGGTCCATTCGGAAAGTCCAATTTTGGGCAACTTTTTCGAGCATTTCGGCCGGAATAGCCCGAATTTCTTCGGAAATGTTGTCTTCCAAAGCTGGAATAGTTGCTGGCTTATTTCTGTAGACTTTAGACTTGACGTAGCCCCACAAAAAATAGTCTAAAGGCGTCAAATCGCATGATCTTGGTGGCCAACTTACCGGTCCATTTCTTGAGATGAATTGTTCTCCGAAGTTTTCCCTCAAAATGGCCATAGAATCGCGAGCTGTGTGGCATGTAGCGCCATCTTGTTGAAACCACATGTCAACCAAGTTCAGTTCTTCCATTTTTGGCAACAAAAAGTTTGTTAGCATCGAACGATAGCGATCGCCATTCACCGTAACGTTGCGTCCAACAGCATCTTTGAAAAAATACGGTCCAATGATTCCACCAGCGTACAAACCACACCAAACAGTGCATTTTTCGGGATGCATGGGCAGTTCTTGAACGGCTTCTGGTTGCTCTTCACTCCAAATGCGGCAATTTTGCTTATTTACGAAGCCATTCAACCAGAAATGAGCCTCATCGCTGAACAAAATTTGTCGATAAAAAAGCGGATTTTCTGCCAACTGATTTTGGTAATAAAATTCAATGATTTGCAAGCGTTGCTCGTTAGTAAGTCTATTCATGATGAAATGTCAAAGCATACTGAGCATCTTTCTCTTTGACACCATGTCTGAAATCCCACGTGATCTGTCAAATACTAATGCATGAAAATCCTAACCTCAAAAAAATCACCCGTTATATAACGAAATTAAGCAACTTAAAACTTTTTTCGTTTGTTTCTTATAAAAATAATGTCCTTGCGACGACTAATTTCATAATAATCGAGGTAGAAAAGCTTACGCAAAAATTTTAATTATTTTAGTTCTGCAAATCTTCATCAAAATTTCAAAGTTTTTATCATTAATTAAAAAAGTGGACTACGAGTTTTATAGTTCATTGAATTAAAACATTATTAAAAATCAATGCGAATTTTTAGAAATGGAATCATAAAACATTCATATTTAAATGGTATTAAAGGCTTCAAATTTGCAATTTGTTAAGGTTTAATATAATGAAATGTAGAACTGCAAACTCAAATTGTTTTGTTAGTTCAAGCTTAAAAATTTGAAATTTTGATGATAACCTGCAGATATTTTTTTAAATTCTATATACAGTTTGAGATTTCGATTTTTATGGTATTGGTCGTTTTGGCTCCAGTCGTAATTCTTTTGTTTGCCGTTAATTAAATGAATACATTCACATACACAATACTTTATCTTTGTATTTAAATATAAGAATTTACTCTTGTGGTCAG